GTTCAACCTGGGTGTGGTGGCATACTTTTCTGTCATCCCAGCAATTAGGAAGATCACTTGAGCCTTTGCTAGTTTGGCAACATATTGAGGTGCCCATCCTCAAAATTAAAACAAACAGCAACAAAAAGCCTTGGTACTCCAAAACAAAGAATGTTTCCTTTATAGGCACTATTTTATATTATGGATTCCTTGACAAAAATACATGTTTTATTTTTTCCCCTAAAGGTAAACTCGATAATTGTTTGAAGATAAGATAGTTCCTTTTTTGGAGCATGGAGACTTGGCTCAAAGTTTTAAGAGTACTTGCTGCTCTTACAGAGGACCTGGGTTCAGTTCCCATCACCCAGTGGGTGGTTCACAACTGCCCCAGAGTCCAGTTCTGACCTAGTGGGTACCCGAATGCTCATGATATACATACATTCAGGTACTTACACATACACATGGATTAAGCACAAATAAAAATTTAAAAAGATAAAGTCGTTTTTTCTAAATTTGGAACTATTGTACTGAAGTGAACAAATTCTATCCCATAGAGTGCTTTTTCTCTGCCTTATTAGAAATGGGGAAATTTGTTAGTTCTGGAGCTTGAGCTCAGTGCATTGTTTTTATTGAGCATATACTGAGACTTGCCCTCAGTGCCTAGAAGAAATAAAAGTGCAAATGATTAAGAACATGATTTTAATTTGATATTGGTATGCTATTAATAGATTCAGAAATGCATTATTATTATTCCTCAGAAATAAGTGATTATTTGTATCTCTTCTGGGATTCAAAAACAGACTGTATACATGTTAGGCAAACATACAACTACAGAGGTATTTTCAGCCATAGTTTTCTTCATTTAATAACTACCTCTTAGAGTGTATAACACAGGAAAGCAAAACAAAACAAACAAACAAAAAACAGTAACTATTGCTAACTATTGTGATCAATGTTTATTTTCGTGTTGAATTGGTTGGTGAATAAAATAAGTAGGTTTATTTCTTTCAGTCCTTTCAGTAGACATAGATAGTCTTTATATATATGGTTACAGAACATTGTCAAGTTCAAGTTAAGATAGCATACTAAAACTGATTACATGGGAAAGGCCTGGGCAGGTGAGATGGTTTAGTGGGTAAACATGCTTGCTGCTAAAACTAATGACCTAAATTCAGTTTCCAGATTGGTAGAAGGAGAGAACTGATTGATGTCCAAAAATTGTTCTCTGACTTCCACACATATGCTGTAACCACCCCCCCCCACACAATGATATTATATAAAACATTCTTAAGAATGTCCTTCTGATTTGAGGCAGAGCAAGAGAAAATGAGTGGGGTGGTAGTGGTGCAGTCTTTAATCCCAGCACTCAGGAGGCAGATGCAGTCCTATCTCTGTGAGTTCAAGGCCAGCCTGGTCTACAGAGTGAGTTCCAGGACAGCCACACTGTTATATAGAGAAACCTTGTCTGAAAACAAAGCAAAACGAGTAAGCTGAAAGAGTAAAGATGAAGGTGGTACATGCTAATTTCTTGAAAGTTGCTCATTATGTTATAACAAAAAAAATGTTCTCTCATATCTGTAGGTGGGGACATTGGTATGTATTTTCCGAAGCTAAGCATAGTTAAAGGATCTCTGTGTATACTATAATGGTGACTTGTAGAGCAATGGTACATAACCAATATATTAGTTGAATTATATTTTCATAAAATCAAACATTAATTTTTATATGTGTAAATTGAATACATTTGCAAGTTTTAACATGATTTAAAAGAGTTATCTATTGCTTATGAAAGCCACTTGATTTTTATGGAAAGTTTTAGTATTTGGCTTTATTATCTGGAGTCAGTTCAGTTATGCACAGTTTTTTTTCTCCCATGCAATTACCCGTTAAGTTGTGTGTAAAAAAATTGCTACGACCAGGGAGGAATGATTTAACTTATTTATAATACTATGAGCTTAGCATTTTAGTAAAGCATATATATTTAACTATATATTTTAAATAAAGTATGTATATTTTAATACAGTCATAATTTATTAAAAATAAAAATGGAGCATGTTATCTTTATCCAGTTATGAATATTCTTTCAATCTGTTTACACTAATTTTAATACCTCTTCAAAATTACAGAATTTTTCTTGAAATTACAAAATTACAGTAATTTTCTTGAACTGACTCTTACCACTTACTGTATTGATTAAGGGGAGACCATATTGTTTCATGGGTACAGAAGAAGGATACCATGTCTACTGAACTCCCTGGAAGTACAGAGAGAAATGATGAATACCTGCTTGTTTTATTCATCACCTAGTTCAATATGGAAACAAATGTTTACACCTGAAATTCATTCCAAATAGTAGTCACCTTTTCTATTTGAAAGGCATGGTGTTCCTTGGGGGCAGTCCTTTGAGTACAGACAGTACAGTGATGTGTTCCATCTGTGAAGCCTCTTTTGATATGCTTTGTTGGTATAAGGTGGTTTAGAGGGAAATGTGTTCATTCCCTGACTCCTGTCTACATTGCTTGAAGCTACTCAGTCCTCTCTGCTCATCAGAGATGGCTCTTCACTTGTCTTTGCAGTCTTTCGCATTTTTCTGTTGGAGTCAGCAAGCCTAATGATGCCCTTCTTTGTCACTCATGAGCCTCATGTACAAAAATCCCTCAAATTCCGCTTCATATTCTGCCCTTTCTCCAGTCACCTTAGTGACACATCTTCACTCTTGATTTGAGCTATAATTTCATATCATTGATTTTCAAATCCTGGGTTATTTAAAAAACAATTAAGTAAGGGCTGGAGAGATGATTCAGAGGTTAAAAGCACTGGCTGCTCTTCTAGAGGACCTGAGTTCAATTCCTAGCAACCACATGGTGCCTCACAGCCTTCTATAATGAGATCTAGTGCCCTCTTTTGGTGTGGAGGTGTACATGCAGGCAGAACACTGCATACATAATAAATAAATAAATCTTTAAAAATATTTTTAAGTAAACTTTTGTAACAAAGGCTTACAAGGAATAAAAATGCTACATACTAAAATTAATCATACTCAAAAGTGTAGACAGCTTAATGAACTTCTATATTGAAATGGAAGCTATGACTGTTTTGCCTGTATGTATGCCTGTGTACCACATGCGTACATGATGCCCACAGAGGTCATGAGAGTGTATCAGATGCCCTGAAACTGGAGTTATGGGGGGTTTTGAGCTGCCTTGTAGGTGCTGGGAACTGAACCTGCATCCTCTGGGAAAGTGGTGCCAGCGCTCTAACTGGTGAGCCGTCTCCCCAGCCTGTTTGTTTTATTACCTGGCTGAAGTGAGAGGATCCATTTTCTAACACTGTAGAGATCAGTTCTTCAGGTCAAGGGACTGGCAAATGTCAAGGTTTTGAAATGAGACGTTTCTTATGTTTGGGGGTGTGTCACTCATGGTCATTGTGACTAGTGTGAGAGAGTGGCAGAGACATAGTGGAGGTCGAGTTGTCAGAAACACTCATAAGCCTAACAAGTATTGTGAGAATTCTTTCTCCTAAGCAATGGTAGAATTCTGGCATGGTTGGAAAGACTAAGGGTGCATCTCAGTGGTAGACCACTTAGCTATTAAGAATGTCGCACTGGGTTAGATCTCCCACAACTGAAAACAAATCAAAAAAACCTGATAAAAAAGAAATTGTTCAGTTTTCAGTGATGCAGTGATATGAGATATCAAGAATGGGAGCAGGAAGATTCTACATGATAATGTAGGTAAACAATATCTTTTAAACCTGTATTTATTGGTTTTATGTGTTGTGTGTGTTTGTATGGGGGTGGGGAGCACATGCATGCTATGTTGTGTCATGGCGTGAGGTGAGGGTAGAGGTCAGAGTACTACATGCATGAGTCTTCTCCTGCTAACATGTAGTTCCTGGCTCTTGAACTGGGGTCCTCGTGCTTGGCAGCAAGTATCTTTACCTCCTGAGCCGAGCCATCCGTTGGCCATTGAGCAGTATCTTGAACTAGTGGGATAGCAGTGATAGGTTTTATGTTAAAGACAGATGAGGAAAAGGAGTGGGATGAATTGTGTGGAAAGAGTGTAAGGGCAAGGGCAGCTCCCTTCTGTGTAATGAAGATTACTCATCTTCTGTTTCTTTGAAGGGATTATTATGAGGATTTGTTAAAACAACACATGAAAGCTATTAACCTTAAAACATTGAAGTGTGTGTGTGTGTTTAAATACTAAACCATTTGAGAGATGTCTTCAATAAAGCCTTGTTAATGAAGAAGTTTCTAGAAGGTCAGATTTCTCAGGGATAAACTAAGTCATTAATAGCTTAGGAAGTGGCTTAGTGTACAGGTTCCCTTGGGTTCATGGCTTACACTGGATCTGTCCCAAAGATACTTTTAATCTTTGATAAGGATTGATGTGTAGCTATTTCTCTGTTTTCAGTAAATGACATTTTGACTCTAGGTAAGATTGCTAATCATAGGGAAAGTATGTATAATCAGTCCCTCATTGTGATATATTTAAGACATAGAATTCTTTTTTTATATATATAATTTTTTTATTTAATTTTATATAACAAAGTCCAATTAAATGAAAACAAACATTTATACACAATATTTGGGAATTTGGGCGTCGTTCTTTCTAAACTACTTCCTGCTGGTAAGGGGCGCTGTCTTGGGGGATTCGAAGAAGATTCAGATATCCTAGCTGTAGTCTATAGGGCTGTTTTGTCCAGCTGTTTTGAATGTAGGATCAGCTTGTACTCAAGACATAGAATTCTTTCCTTGGTAAATATCTCAAAATAAACAAGACCTGTAACTCAGATGTCCTATAGTTTATTTTTAAGTATGTAGTGTTGCTGAGTCTGAACAAGCCCACCTGCCACACTAATAAGCATCAGGCATTTTGTGCTTATTGTGTCTTGCCAGTTTCATGCTTCCTTCACTTTAGGTTAACGTGAGTAGAATACAAAGTTCTAAAGACGTTGTTTCTGAAATGACTTATTCAAATGAGATTCAGCTGATTGCTAATTCTGCTTTCCTGTTGCAGGTGTGTCGACAGTGATGTCACAAGACTGACCACATTGATCACAGTAAGACCAAATGACAGTGCAGCTTCAAAGCATGCTGTGTTTTCCTCGAGAATAAGAATTGAGCTGGGAGATATTTATGACATAAGCTATTGTAATTTCTCCAGCCAGTCCATTGAATGCTTACATTTTTAGCGACTCACATTTCATATTTCTAGTTACTTAATACTTGTAAAATGCTTTGAAGGACTTTAAAGTCATTTAATATGAAAATTTATAACTAAAATTATTACATACATATTTCACTGTGAATCATGCTGTCATCTCTTTTCATTTCTTTTTTTACCAAAATGTGGCAAAAGGTTTAAGGTTATTCCATATTAGGGAAAAATTAGAAAAATAAAATGACTTGAGGCCATTATGGATTATTAAGGACTGGTTATGGAAGCATAGCAACTTCAAGGAATTCTCAGGCGTCTTCCTTCAAGCCTTACTGATACCCAGATACTCTTATACAGCCTCCCCCATGGGAGTGTATAGAGAAAATGCTTCTTCTGTTTAGTTTTATTTGTAGGTCAAGGAAATGTGTTGCCTAAACGTAGCCCCTTAGCAACACCTTGCTCCACAAGTGTTGGTTTTTGGTTTGTTTGTGGTGCTGAGATTGAACACAGGCTTATACACAGGAAAACATGAATTCTAAGACATGCCCCAGGCCTGGCACAGGATTCTCAACTAGTAAAGGCTACATTATAGTCATTAAAAAGGTGTCTTCATAAGTAACGAAGGAATGAGCTTTGAGTAAATTATAAATTGGTTGAGGCTACTTTAAGCATGCTTTAATTGTTAACTAAGCATAGAAACAGTAGTAAAGAGGTATTTCAGTTATGTGTAAGGCAAAAGCCATGTGTGGATGATCTTTGTAGTAATGTTCAGAATTTCTTTTGGAAATTGTTTTAAATTTGCTGTTTTGCACTGACTAGAGAATTTTTATTGTATCTGGAAAGGTTTTGTGATTATTTTGTTTCACTGAGGCTTATGGAAGCTGTTTTACTTTGTCCCCCGCCCTTTCTCTTCCTCTTTCCTTCCACCCTCAGTCGACATTCTTTGTTGTGATAGGGATGGAATCCTGGAAAGACATATTAGGCAAATGCTGTATCCTTGAGTTATGTCTTCAGGTTTCTTTGCTTGTTTTTTTGTTTTTTAATAATCAGAACTTTATTGATATAATAGAATATGTTACTACAGCATACTAAAGCATTCCATGTAGCATGTCCTGCTACACAGTAATCAAGTTAAAATTATCAAGTAGCTAATTGCAGTTGTTCTAAATCCAAGAATTTCACAGTGAGGTGATGTTCAGTGTTGTTAGATATTAAATAAAGACAAGATGTGTTCCTTTGCAGTTAAGTAACTGCAGTTAGAAATGAACTTTGTGATGATGGCAGGGTTGTGAGCCTTTCTTCACACTCTCCAGTCAGGAGAGGAGGATGCATGTCAACCCTGACTCATGGGGAGTGCTAGTGAAAGGGTAGTTCACCACCGCTGTCTTAGTTCAGGGTTTCTGTTGCTGTGAGGACACCATGACCATGGCAGTTTTCAGAGGCTCAGTCCTTTACCATCAGGCAAGGAGCATGGCTTTGTGCAGGCAGAAGTGCTGGAGGGGTAGCTGAGAGTCCTGTATCTTGTGGGCAACAGGCAACAGGAAGTCAACTGAGATACTCAGCAGTATCCTGAGCATAGGAAACCCCAAAGCCTGCCCCCACAGTGACATTCTTCCTCTCCAATAAAGCCACACTTCCTAATAGTGCCACTCCCTATGAGATTATGAAGGCCAATTACATTCAAACTACCATAGCTGCTAAGCCTAGGCCTGAGGTATGGTACTATTAGAAAAAGGCTGATTTATTACAAGGCAATGAGAAGCCAAGGGCATAGTCAGAGATCCATAAGCTGGTGTCATAGATGACATAGTCATTAAAGTTGTAGACTTTAACTATTCAAGATCTAAAGTGATAGGCAACATTAATATTGTCTATAATATGTAAATATATTTTAATTTAAAACATTTTAGTGATTTTTAGACAAGACAGAATTTACAATTACTATTCTTTCCTCTATACCACAATCCACACAGATAACAAAACTGTTTCACTGAACATTGGGGGGGTGGGGAGATTGGGCATTGTCAATTCCATCAAAACTTGTACATGATCCTCAGTTTAGTCTTAGTAAAAGATTTTCTTATTAGAAGACGTTTGGTGACTTCCTGGTTTTTTTTATTATTTCAGACCCCATACTCTAATTTGATGTTCTAATTGGCTCCTGTATACATTACAATATCCAAGAATAATAGCTTTATATTATACTCAGTATAAACTGCATATGCTATATTAAATGGTCTTATGCCATTCTTATATCACTATTTTTACATAGAATCTTCTTCTATCTTTAAAAACATTACTGTGAGGAAAGCAGTTAGTTCTCCCTTCTAATGCTCTGTCTATATTTAGTCATCTCTCTGAGGTATTCTGTAATCATCCTAAGTGAAAGCGATTCTTCCTCTCTAATAGTTTGGTAACAATTTTTATTAGTCTTATGTCACTGATCATTGACTTTAATAGTTTGGATTGATTTTAAGTACCTAAACCTTTCTACAGTACTTAGCAAGTATTGGTAGTCATAAACATACTAAAAGTGTCAAATTACTTAGTATCTAAGTTTTGCCTGTATTAGAATTGAAATCAGGATTTTAGCATATGCAATTGAACATTATGGTACAGGGTGAATAGGAAGGAAGGTAGGTTTTAGGCCCATGTAGAATGCAGTTAATGAGGGCATTCTGGGCTATTTTGCAACTTCATGTCTTGTTATAGTCAACTATGAAGTGATGCATTGCATCTGTTTGAAAGGATTGGACTAATATTTAAATAGGATGTCGTGTCTTTCTTGCCTGTTACTTGTGTTTACTGTAGCTTGCTCTTTTATAGATTGTATACCATCAACTATAAAAACCTCCTAAATTTATGCTATTCATTGTAGCCCTTTGATGTATGTTTCTATAGATTTCTACCTTCTGTGTGTGTTTGTGCATATTCCTGTCTGTATGTGCACAAGTGTGTTCAGGTGCCAGCCTTGGTATCATTTCTCAGGATCCATTCATTTTCCTTTTTGAGTCAGGGTCTGTCCCTGGGACCTGAGGCTCTTTGATTAGGTTAGGCTGGGTAGACAATGAGTCCTATTTCCTTAGTAGTGGATTACAGTTATGTCTACCACACACACCTTTTTATATGGTTTTTGGGATTGAATTTGAGTCTTCATGCTTGAATGGCAAGCTCTTTACCAACTAGTTTTATCTCCCAGCATCCAGATTTCTACTTTTTGATATGGATTCATGTACGATTATTACAATCACACCTCAACCTTCCAAATTCTTTGATTTCTAGCCAAGAGGCATTCAATTAGAGTTACTGATGTTATGTACTTTTATCTGGGAGAAAGCAGTCATACTTGGCTGGAATGATAATCTCTTAAAAGACCAGAATGAACTTTAGACAGTTCTGACTGGATACTGTAGTATGGGTAGAGATTGAGGGGTGGTACTGTGGACTGTAGTTTAGGAACATGGACATGGGTCAGAAAATTGTTGTTTTCCCTCTGCAGTTTATATAATAGTTTCAGTCTCTGCTAATTATTAAAGATCCAGGTTTCCTTCTCTAGGACTTAGATCTTAGGAGTGTTGTGAATATTAGAAGTACTATTCACACAGCACTTAGCACCAAGGACAACACTTACAAACTTCTTTTGACTCTCATACTTGTTACCTGCAAAGTTACTTCCCTAAGATATTATGTAGTTTTGTCTTGTGCTATAAAATTTGTATTGTATTACTGTTTTATGATTATCTCTTATTTGATTAAACATCTCTACATAGCATCTATACAAAGCATAATAGAATTTCATTAAAAATTGTGTGTGTGTGTGTGGGGGGTCTTGTGCAGGGGGTGGGGGTTATGCTACAGTGAGCATAAGGAAGCTATAAGACAACATGCAGGACGGGGTCAGTCCTCTCCTTCTACCACGTGTGTCCCAGTGATGGAAGGAACTCAGGTCATCTTGCTTGGTGATAGCACTGTTACCTATTGTGCCATCTCACTGGTTCAGGATACTTCTATTTTTTCTCATCTCCCAATCTTTTTCTGTAAGAAAATATATACATTTAATTTACATCCAATTTTATATGCACTGAATTGCACTGAATTTTATTTCAATGACTATTACTATAGTGTTAATTTGTATTTAAAAACAATCCTATTTAATATTTTGCTATATACATAATGTTATAAACAATCTTTAAATAACTAAAGTAGTCATTCCTATCTGATTAAAATTATATTTTTCTTTTTGATTATTTTATTATGAATATTACTTCAGTTTTGTAGAATAGTTAACATCATAATTGATACTTAGAATAATATAATTTTGTAGTGCCCATGATTAGAAATGTCAGTGTTAGGTTGTAAATTTTAATGTTAGTTAGGTTATCTATCCCCAGGTAAAACATCATCAGATATAACAATAACTGATAACTTTCCTAACACTTTTGCCTTTCTAACTTATGTCCATAGCACACCACTACCTGGAATAAGAAACATTCATTCTCCTTGCAGCTAAATGTAATGAGTAACTGGCTTTCCTGTTGTGTGTCTGCTGTTTAGACAGGAGGAATCTCTGTGTGGGGCTTTAGTGGGCCTGGAACTCAATGTGGAAGGCCTGGTTCTCTTGTGTCTGAGACATGGGGTGGTAGGCTCCATGTGCCCAACTGAGTAGAAAGCATCCCACAGGAAGAGGTGGGGCACAGTGTCTTCCTCCTTTCTTGTTGAAATGTAGCTATGGTAACTGAACCCTGGCTGGAGGCCATGTACTGAGAAGGGGGAAACAAAAACAGTCTCCAGATCTTTATGATGCCACCTGGCTTATTCTGGCTTTTCACATCTACACTTCTTTTTTTATATGACAGAGTTAAATTTATGTGTTCCATAAACTACTGGTTTTGTGTTACCATT